TGTCTAAAAGTAAACAAACCATGGCAAAAAACCGTGTCCATTATTTCATTTGCAGGGTTTATAACGAGAGTACAGACAAATGAACTGTGGTTGTTCAGATCAGAGACCCTTTGGCTTTCCCTCGTGAACACCAGCCTGAACAGATGGATGCACATTTCTTTCTGACACGGGATTTGTTTTAAAAATCCATATTTGTGTGATCTTGTTTTGACACACAAAACATATAAACAATAGGCTTTTTAGAAAGTGTTTTTCATCTAGAAACAAATGCATCCTGACATATTTGGGCACACAGCCCCGTTGTGGACTCTGACATTACAAAAGCCATCTCCCTTTTTGTGTTTGGCAGAGCTCTGCCATTTTCCGTTCTTGCTTTAACATGCAAAATTGATTCATGAAACACTGTAATGCACCAAAGCATTTGATTTTATTGTTTCTGCCATGCTCTTTTAAGTACTTGTGCAACCTTGTCTTTGTGTGGTTTCCCGCTCTACCAAGGCAATCAGTGTGTTTACATAGAGTTTCTGATGCACTATGGCTGGCCTGCCGGCAATTTCCGATTCCTAAATATCTGTTAAACGAACTAAGACTGAACTGAGGCTGAACTCCAGCCTGCAGCAGCTCCGAGAAGACAAAAAGGCGTGAAGAATACTAATTTACGTAAACCAGAAGTAACCCTTTTTGGAAAACAGATAACTCTGAAAATGTAACTGCTCCTTATCTCTGAATTTAAACAAAACTGGATGTCCCTGTGAGTATAATTCCCTCAGTGTGCCCATTAATCATTCTTTCTTTTAACTTTGATGCATTTCTAAAGTAGAATATTATCTCTTTCCTTTAACCTTCATCCCACAGACCCTGGAGGAAAACGCTTTTTTTAATCATGTCTCACAGATGCTTCTTTCTATCGAACCAATTTTTAGGACTAATGATTTCATACCATCGGTTTCTTTTGCCATTTGGTGCTTTCTAAAAATGAATTGATGTATTGAGATTCTTGGGGACACTCAATTATATTAATGCAGTTTTTAAAAAAATGGAGCACTTTTGAGTCCATGTTACCGTGTCTCCTGATTTAATGTATCCTGCAGGATCAAAGGAGGACTGGCACACTATCAGACAGACACAGATGCAGCAGGCACACATTTTCTCGTGCTCTGTGGAAGATGACGCCCTATAGCATTAAAGCTCTACGTAAACAACATTCACGCCACCTTATCTACACATCAATTATAATGATTTTAAATCATATATGTCACCCTAATTGTTACAGGTGGCGATAGTATTCATTGTACTCTGTTAAGTAAATTTTTAAAAACTTGAGAGTAAAAGCTCTTCATTGACGATTAAAGAGACAAAACCAATATCGAAAAGTGTGAAATCACAAAGGATTTAACAGACTCTCAGTAAGTTCCAAGGTTCATTACAGCCACTGTAACGGTGTTAGATTTTCTTAACAGCACTGATGCCTAGTAAAACCTGACTAGTGAGCTAAATCGGGATTCCAGAGGATTTTTTTCAGCTGCTGTGGTGTGACTCCTTCTCTGTTCAAGCTGTTGTAATCATCTGAGACTGAATAGGGGAACATTTCTGTCGATAGTGCATGTTGCACAGATGTCAGCATCTCACCAGGCCACTGTACAATTGATCCAGCGTGGCTTGATTTTCTTCAGGGGTTTTTTTTTTTCTGTAGGAGTTGTGTAGGTGCCTGTGAGCTTTGGACTATATGGCTGCCCTTTTTCACAGATCTTGCTTGTAACATTCATGGACAAAATCTCGTTGCACAGTCAGGGGACGGATCAAATATGCTCAACTAGTGGGCTTCAGATTTGCGCTCCTGTTGAGCGGTGCCCTCGAGCGTGTAGTGGGACAGTCTGGAGTTGAATGCAGTGCAGCTGAGATGAGAATTGCCAGTTTTGAAGCCATGATTCTCAGGCAAACAGGTGGATTGCCTGCTCCAGGCCTCATATGGAGAAGTTAAGCATCTCAGTTCTTGTTCATGGTCAGGAATGACAGGCTGTTTGATGTCATTTCTGCAGCCATGCTCACCGTCCTGGTCTCTTCTGGTGAAGTGGGAGCAAAGTTAATTGGTGGATCATCTTCTGTTCTAACCACACCTATGTCCAAGAGAAACACTGAACTGACTGAACCTTCTCGGAAGAATGTCCCAGCATACCTTTAGAGACCAGCTGAGGGGCTCAGTCAGTCGTTTGGGAGCAGCTCAGAGCAGAGCTGCTGTTCCTGCAATACTGGAACAAGTTAAAGAGGTTCGGGCATCTGTCCAGGAGGCATCCTGGACACATCTCAGGTGAAGTGTTTTGGGCATGTCCAACTGGAGGGGAGACCTCAGGGCACACCCAGGAAATGCAGGATGGATTATGTTTCTTGGCTGAGGTGATTGCCCAAGTTTCCCCCAGGATGAGCTGTAGGCAGCGGCAGGGAGAGAGAGGGCAGCACAACTTACTGCTGTCTGAGATAAATGTTAGAAAAGCTATAAATGGATGTCAGATCTTATTCTTGTATTCTTATTATTATTTTAAATTCTCCAAAAGAATTTCTCAGATAAATAAAGAATAACTCATTGTATCTTACAGAGTTCAGAATGTCCTTAAAGACTACTCAGAGGTAACTTTCTACCCATCACAATAAATTACACATTAAAGAACTACTACTGCCATAGAGAACAGCAGATTAACAAGCTCAGAAACACAAAGAAAAACAATATCTATTGGAATAAGTGTGCAGATAAGGAGGTAATCAAATGTCTCATTTTTAAACTTAAATAATTATATTCTAGTCTAGCAGTTTTTATTGGCTTGCTCAAAGGGGGTCATACGTTTTGGGCTGTTTTCTGTTGCTGTGATTTATTTGCTATATAAAGAAAATTGAATTTAATTGGCTGGATGTGACTGGACTCACCGCTGCTGGGATAGATCTTATTTGCAAAAATCAAATAAATAAAGAAACATCCTGATAAATTTTTGGCACGCAGCCTACTTGTTGGCTTTAATTCTACAGTGTAGATGCCTTCTTTTATTCAGGAGAGCACAGCATTTTTCTTCTTTAGTCATTAAACACTTGAATGCACTAAAGTATTTGATCTTAGAAAATATGGTCATGTTTTTAGCTTCAGCGTGGTCAACAACATGCTTCTCAGAAGTCTGTCTACAACCTTTAAGCTCTTCTGTTCTACAAAATTAGCTGTAAATATCATGAATGATGCTCACGTTTATAGACCAAATATTAAAAAAATCAAACCCAAACTGCAATGTAACTCTATTCTTATGATTCTTCGGTTTTATTCAATTGTTGATCATTATTGTCTTTATTCTTTTATTTTCTAACAATCACATGTTATTAAGCTGTCTACACAGCTCTTATTATCCAAAACTCTGGATCAGAGTGAGAAATTTCAAAGAAAAATGGATGTTTCAACACGATATTTAGTAC